GATTTACTCTTCCATTAAAAGGAAAACCCTATTGTGTTTTTTAATTTTTTAAAAAAAAATATTTTTAATTTTTAATTTTAATTTTTAATTGGATTATTTGGTTTTTAGTGACTAGTTTATTCAGTTCTTTGTATATTTTAGAAATCAGCCCTTGGCTAGATTTGGGGATGTTTAAGTTCTTTTCCCATTGTGGGATGCTGTCTTGTCTTGTTGACTAGAATGTTTGGCATTAGAGAATCTTCTTTATTTAGGAGGCCCCATTACTATTTGTCAATCTGAGTGTCTGTGCTACTGATATGTTGAGTAAGTGGTCTGCTGTACAAATTCATTAATAGCTACAGGCTCTAAACTAGGATGCTGAGACAGAGACAGAAATAAAGAGACAGTGACAGTGAGATACAGATAGATACAGACTGAGACAGAGCGATAGAGACAAAGAGAGACAGACAGACCAAGGCTCAGCTCTGGCAGAGAGTAGTCCAGACCACGTACAGCTGCACAGGCTTCACAGACAAACACAGAGAGAAAGAGACACTGAGAGAAAGTGAGAGACAATGTGATACAGAGACAAAGGTACAGAGATATACAGACAGACCATGGCAGTTTATAGGCTAAGAGTAGTAGTGGAGAATCACATGGAGACAGAGACCAAGACTCAGCGTCGGAACAGGACCAGTGCATAGCAGGTAGAGTTGCAAGCTCACACCCAGGCTGCAGAGACAGTGACAGTGAGAGAGAGACAGAGTCAGGGAGATATAGAAAGAGAATGAGAGAGACTGACAGACAGGCCAAGGCCCAGTGTAGGCTAAAACCAGTGAACACCAGACTCCCTCCCTGTCCTTGTACATAGCATGATAGTTTTTGAGAAAGAGGGAGGAAATTTGACCCAAGACATTGATGAGAAGAGGATCCAGATTCACTAGCCACAGGCCACAGGCATAACTGCCAACAAGACAAGCTGAGACTTGTCCAGAACAGACCATGTATAACTGCAGGATCCAAACTAGGTTGCAGAGCCAGAGAGAGACATAGAAGGAGAGCCTGAGAGAGAGTGAGAGACAGACAGACAGACAGACAGACAAAGACCAGATATAGCTTCAGGCTCTAACCCTGGCTACAGAGACAGAGACAGACAGAGAGACAGTGACAGAGAAGGACAGAGAGATACAGACTGAGAGAGAGAGACAGAGACAGAGAGAGTCAGAAAGACCAAGGCTCAGTTCAGGCAGAGAAAATTCCAGACTAGAATCAGCTGCAGGTTTTCAAAAGAATATGGGGACAAAGACAGAGTGACTGAGAGACAGTGAGAGACAATGAGATATGGAATGAGATAGCAAAACAGAGACAGAGACAGACAGACAAAGGCTCAGTGTAGTAAGCACGCCCATTTTAGAGCTGGTAGTTTTGCAGGCTCCTACTCAGGTTCAGAGACAGTGACAGTGAAAGACAGAGACACCAATAGACAGATACTGTGAGAGATAGACAGTGAGAGAGAGACAGATAGACAAACAGACAGATTGTCAGACCAAGTGTCGGTGTAATCCGAGACAGCTATAGACCAGGTACAATTGTGCAGGATCCTACCCCACTCATGAAGGATGCTTTTCTACTTAATAAACTCTGTCTGGCTGCTGAGGTCATCTCTTACAACAAGTAGCTGCAGTCCAATGATCCCTCAGTCTAGTATAAGAAATAGAATTTAAACCAAGCTGGAGGAAAATAACCATGGAAAACTCAACTTGATTTTTTAATTGTGAGTCTTTTCATTTTCTAAGTCCATTGTTGTACATCTTAGGGAAGATGACATTCATCCACAAAAGGCTTTGGACAGTTTTTCCATGGAATAGTAACCAGAAGTTTCCCGTAAACATAAGATGAATTTCCCATGGCCAAGGCCCAGGATGGCTCGGTACAGATAATCCAAAAATTGGAGTCATCCTAAACTCAAAGCCAAAAGTTGAACACAATAGGCCCGAACAGTGGGTGCCACACAACAACCCAAAAAGCAGTGGGAATTAAGCACTGAAGGCTTAAAAGAGAATACAAACATGACTCAGCAAATGCAGTGGTGGACCTCATCTTTCTGAAACATACCTACGTGAAGGGGTATCTCAGCAGTGGGTCTGTCTGAGTAAAATATCTCCTCAGTCCCCATCTCACCCCAGCATTGGTGGGAAGAGAGCTCACAGATATATCATCCCTGCTTTTCAAGGCTCCAGTATTAGTCTTTTGTTTCCATGGAAGTGGAAGCTCAATATAGCAACAGAACACGGAGCAATGGAACAGAAACCATGGAGAGTCCTTAAACAATAGTGATAATGACAGGGCAGGAATGTGAGAGTGGGGTAGACAGGGGAAGAGACAAAGAGGCTAAGAGTAAGACAGGAGGGCAGAGAGCAGAGAGGAAGGGGAAGGTAAGAGAAAGAGAGAAACATATTAAGAGAAAGAGAGAATGAGTAGGCCAGTGTCTGTCTTGTAAAGGGGTCCTTTACACCAGCCTGCAGGCTTACTGAGCAAGGAAAACTGCCTGGGCTGACCACTGTACCACCTGAGTGAATCCTTCCATGTGAAAACTGCTGCCAAGCATGATGGACCATTCACTCTCAGTGATTATTAAAAGGTGGGGAGTTAGACTTGGGAGCTTTGGGAATGAGGACCTACAGTTCTGGACATTGCTACCTGATGATGTCAAGGGCATTGACCATCATTGGGGATGAACATCTTTGTGGGTAACGATCATTGGTGCTGCCACATCTGGCAGTATTTGCTGGCTCTGCCCCCGTACAGGCTGAATGACAAAATCTGCATCTTCTTAGACCTTGCAAGATATCAGCAGTGTAGAATGAATAGGTTAATTTAGAAACCAATGTTTCTTCAGTCCTGGTATTGGAGGGGAGGATGGTAAGGGTAGGTGGGTGGTTCCAGAGTGTTCATGCAATTAGGATGAGAATAGGGAGACTGGCAGTATGTAATAGCTTAATCCTATTTATCTGACCAGATCTTGGCAACTGTTTGAATCGGTCCTATTAGGCTCCGTTGAACTTACAAGAATCCTTTGGGTTTGTGAGAAACATAAACTTTAGACACCTAAGCAGCCTGATTATGGTAGAAGCCACTGGGCTGTAAGCATCCATGTATTTTGAAAGTGGAAGATATTTTCAGGCCAATGGAATGCACCTCAAATTTGCCACTGTGCAGTGGGTTAGCATGTCGTACAGTACTCTGTCTGAATCAGACATGTAACTTACAGGAAATTTATGGATTCATGGGAAGACTGTGATCACTACAAGGCTGAGAAAGAGAGAAACTAAGGACATGCTTCATCCTCTTTGGAAGGCCAACCTTATGATCCCCATTTCTTATATCAGCTCTGCAATAAAGCTGGCATACCTCCCTCTGTGTCCACGTCCATAGCATCAGAGAAAGAAGTAAAAACATTGACCCAAGTCAATGATGAGAAGAGGACAAAGACTGGATAAACTCAGTTTGCAAGCAGAGCTGCCCACAAGGCAGTCTGAGACCTGTCAAGACCAGACCAGGTACAAATGCAGGACCAAGTCATTCTTGAAGAGACATAGACATAGAAGAGACTCAGAGAGAGTGACAGTGAAAGAAAGGGACGTACAATTTGAGAAGACAGAAGGAGACTGAATGAGTCAGACTGACCAGGACTCAGTTCGGGCATAGACCTGTCCAGACCAGGTACAGGTGCAGGGTTTCACCTAGGCTGCACAGGCAAAGACAGAGAGACTGAGAGACAGTGAAGACAATGAGATATAGACAGAGACATGGACCCAAGGACAGAGACAGAAACAGTCATACCAAGGCTCAGTGTATGCTAAGATCACTGCAGATCATGTACATCTCTGGAGGCTCACAAACCACACATGAAGGATGCCATTTCTGCCTAATGAACTCTGTCCTGCTGCTGATATCATCTCATGGAAACAAGTTGCTGAAGTCCAATGATCCCTCAGTCTAGTCTAATAAATAGTATGTACACCCCGCTTGAGGATGTTAACCATGGAAAACTCACCTTTAGTTGAGTAATGTGAGTCTTTTCATTTTATAATTCCTTTGTTTTCCTTCATAGGAAAGATTATATTCATCCACAAAAAATCTTTGAACAATTTTTCCACAGGAATACTAAGCAGAAAGATTCAGTATACATAAGAAGTATTTCATATGGACAAGGCCACTGGTGCCTCAGTAAGGAAGAACTCAGCACTTAAAATTCACCTGAATTGGTGGCCAAGGGCAGAATAAAAAATGCCCAAAAAGTCCAGTTGACAGTAGTTCTTGAGAAAGAGTAATGAAAACCTGCTGAAGGCTTAAAATGGAAACACACTAGTGACTCAGCTTATGCGGGATTGGAACTCATCCTTGTGAAACTTTCATAGGTGAAGTGGTGGGTCACCAGTTGGTATGTCTGAGAAAAAGATATCCTGGGTCTCCCACTCACCCCAGCATAGGTGGGAAGAGGGCTCACAGAGAGAGCCTCCATGGTTTTCACAGCTCCAATATTGGTCTTTGTTTACATGGAAGAGGTATACTCCCTATGGAGATGGAACACTGACCAATGGAACATGAACCATAGAGAGTCCATAAACCATAGAGTTTCAGCCATGGCAGGAGAGGAAGAGTGGGAGAGAAAGGAGAAGAGAAAAAGAATGTAAGAGCCTGAGCAGAGAGCAGAGAGAAAACAGGTGAGTGAGAGAGATACAGAACAGAGAGAGAGAGAGAGAGAGAGAGAGAGAGAGAGAGAGACAGAGAGAAAGAGAGAGACAGAGACAGAGACAGAGAGACAGAGACAGAGACAGAGACAGAGACAGAGAGTGAGTTAGAAAGCATGATTGCCCGGGATCTGTTTTTACAATGCCTGAAGATTTACTCTCCAAGGGACCCTCCCTGGAGTGACTAGAATTCTGCCTGAATGCATCATGCCAGGTGACCTGGGGCAAACCATACTGATTCCTATACCTCCTTCCAACCTTCACTGACTATTAAATGGTGGGAGGTTATCTATGCCAAGTTAGGGTATAAGGAACTCAAATCCTAGACTCTCCTTCCAGCTGATGTGGTGGTATGTTGAACATCTTTGGGGTTCAACATCTTTGTGTTAACCATGTTTTGTGCTGCCATATCCTGCAGTATTTGCTGGCTCTGACACATTTGGGCAGTGTGACACTATCTGGATTTTCTTTAAAAAAAGAAGAAAGTAGAAGGGACAAAGAATGTAACAGCCTAAGCAGAGAGCAGAAAGAAAACAGGTGAGTGAGAGAGACAGAGACTCTCTCTCTCTCTCTCTCTCTCTCTCTCTCTCTCTCACACACACACACACACACACACACACAGTTGCCTAGGGGCAACCTGGCTAATGCCTAAACCTCATTCCAACGTTCACATATCATTAAATGTTGGGGTGTTAGAAATGACAGGTTAGGGTAAGATTTTCTTCATGCTGATGAGGGTTTTTTTTTGATCATCTTTGGGGTTGAACATCTTTTTGTGAAACCCATATTTTGGGCTGCCATATCCTGCAGTATTTGCTGGCTTTGCCCCTATCCAGGCTGTGTGACACTCTCTGGATATTCTTACAACTGGCAAGTACTGAGCAGTATATAATGAATAGGTTGAATTCAGAAGAGACAAAGAGACAGGGAGAGTGAGAGAGAAAGTGAGGCACTAAGGATCAGTATAGCAGTCAGTCCCAATGCAACGAAGGTAGAGTTGCAGACTCCCACCCAGGCTGCAGAGATATAGACATAGAGGCGGAGACATTGAGAGACACAGCTACATGGAAACAGAGACAGTGAGTGTTAGAAAGACTGAACATCAGACAGACAGACAGACAGATACACAGACAGACTAAGGCTCATTGTAGCCTGGGACCACTGCAGACCAGGGACAGCTGCAAGCTCCCACCATACACATGGAGGATGCTGCCTCTACCTAGTGAACTCCTTCCTGCTTCTGACGTCATTTCATGCAACCAAGTAGCTGCAGTCCAATGATCCTTCAATGTAATCTAAGAAATGGAATTTAAACATTCTTGTAGGAAGCTAACCATGGAAAACTCACATTTTTTGAGTAATGTGAGTCTTTTCATTTTCTTAGTTTATTGTTATACTTCTTAAGGAAAATGACATTCCTCCACACAACCCTTTGAACAGTTTTTCCACAGGAACAGTAATCATAAGGATCCCTTAAATATGATATGAATTTCCCATGTTCAAAGCCGAAGGAGGCTCGGTACCCACTATCTCAGAACTCAGAGTCAGCCTGAACTCATGGCCAAGGGAAGAACTAAAAATGCCTGAAAAGTCAAGTCAACAAATATGTCCGAAAAGTAGAGGGAAGAAACTGCCAAAGACTTACAGCTGAAATACCAGGTAATTCAGTGAATGTGGAGGTAAAACTCATCCTTGGGAAACACTCAAACCTTAAGGCGTGTCTCAACGGTTGTTCTGTCCAAGAAAAAATCTCTGTGGTTTCCTGTTCGAAAAAGAATTGCCCGGGAGAAAGGTCACAGAGAGAGCCTCCCTGGAATTCACAGCTCTAATGTTGGTCTTTTGTTTATGTGGAAGGGGAAAGCTCACTATGTAGACAGAACCCTGAGCAATGGAGCAGGAACCATACAGAGTCCAAGAACCATAGTGTTTCTGACATGTTGGGAGTGGGAAAGTGGGGGAGACAGGAGAAGAGGCAAAGAGGGTACAAGGATGAGCAAAGAGCAGAAAGCATACAGGAAGGAGAAGGTGAGAGACATAGAAAAAAGAGAGGGAGAGAGAATAAGTGAGCATGAGGGGGTCAGGGTCTGACCTTTAAAGGAGTCCATTAAAGATGACTGCAGACTTAGTACCCACGGAAACCTGGGCTGAACAGAGAAATGCCTGAGTGAGTTCATACTGATACTTGACCAAGCCGCCAGCCTGTGGCCAGGACCTTTCATTCCCAACTTCATTGGTTATTAAAAGGTGGGGTGTTAGACTTTCCAAGTAATGGAATAAGGTTTTTAGTTTTCAAGCTTGCTTCCTGCTGATGTAAGGGCGTTGACCATCTTTAAAGAACCTGAGAATGTTGGTTTACTACCACTTCCTGGAGTATCTGGTTGTTCCACCCCATTCCAGGATGTGTGACACTCTCTGGGGCCTCATATACCTCGCCAGATATCAGCAGTCTAGGCCATGAGGTTAAGTTTTGAAAAAAATGTATCTTAAGTCCTGGTATTTTAGGGGAGGATGGTCAGATGAGGGAGGGGACCAGGGAGAGGTCCCAGATGAGGAGGAAGAGAATATGGGACTATGGAGAGGGGGGAAAGCTATTTATCTGGAAAGATTCTTTGAACCTGTTTGCATGGATCTGATTCTGCTCCCTGTAAATTTCATGGATCATTTGGGTTTGTGAAAAACATAAATTTGAGACATATTAGCTGCCTTTTTATAATAGAAGCCCCTTGGCAGAAATCAGTAAGATTTTGGAAACTGAAGGATATCTTTAGGACCATAAAAAAGCACCTTAAGATTCTATTGTAGAGTGGTGTAGCGTCTTGTTCAGTACTTTGAGAAAGAGAGAGAGAAAGAGGGAGAGACTAAGGCTCAGTATAGCTTGCAGGCCCAGTGCAATGCAGGTAGATTAGCAGACTCCCACCAACACTGCAGAGACATAGACACAGAGACAGAGATAACAGAAACAGAGACAGTGAGATATAGAGAGAATAAGAGACACAAAAGGCAGAAAAACAGATAGATGCACTGACAGAACAAGGCTAAGTGTAGGCTGGAAACAGTCCAGGCCAGGTATATGTCCTTATGCTCCCAACATACTCATGGAGGACGCTGTCTCTGCATAATTAACTCTGTCTTGCTGATGACATCATCTCATGCAACCAAGTAGCTACAGTTGAATGATCCCACAGGCTACTTTAAGAAATGGAATTTAAACCTTCCTGGTAGAAGCTAAGCAGGGAAAACTCACATTTTTTTGAATAATGTGATTCTTTTCATTTTCTTAGTCTATTGTTGTACTTGTAAGGGAATATGACATTCATCTACAATTGTCTTTGTACAGTTTTCCATGTTAACAGTAACTTTGAGGATCCCTTAGACATAAGATGAATTTCCAATGTGCGAGCCCAAAGGAGCTTAGGTACTCAGTATCTCAGAACTCAGAGTGAGCCTGAAGTCATGGCCAAGGGCATCACAAAAAATGGCCAAACATTTGAGGGGAAACAGGCATCTGAAAAGCAGTGGGAAGAAACTACCGAAGGCTTAAAGCTGAAACACACAGGTGACTCAGCCAATGTGGTGTTGGACCTCATCTTTGGGAAACATACTGAGCTGAAGTAGTGTCTCATAGGTTGGTTGTTCCCAGAAAAAGATCTCTGAAGTTTCCTGCTCATCAGATCCTTGGCAGGTTGAGAGATCATAGAGAGAGACTCCCTGGTTTTCACGACCCCAGGTTTGGTCTTTTGTTTACATGGATGCTGAAAACCATGCTATGGAGACAGAATGCTGAGTAATGGAACATGAACCATAGAGTGTCCTTGAACTGTATAGATACTGACAGGGTGGGAAAAGGAGACTGGGGGACACAGGAGAAGAGATTAAGTAGGTAATAGGAAGAGCCGAAAGCAGAGAGCAGAGAGGAAGGTTAAAGTAATAGAGAGAGAGGGGGAGAGATGATAGATAGATAGATAGATAGATAGATAGATAGATAGATAGATAGATAAAGACAGCATGGGTGGGGCGATGTGTCTTTTAAAGTGGTCCGTTAAACATGCCTGCAGACTTATTACCCATGGAACACTGGGAACTCCAGAGTACTACCTGAGTGCATGCTGTCAGGTGACCAAGGCAGGCCAGCCTGATGCCAGGATTTTCATCCCCACCTTCCCTGATTATTAAAAGTTCAGGTGTTAGAACTGGAAAGTTAGGCAATAAGGATGCTCAGTTCTCAATAGTTCTTCATGCTGATGTAGGGGGTGTTGACCATCTTTGGGGATCCCATTATGTTGGGGTTCTTCCACATCCTGTTATATTTGGTTGCTCTGCCCCAGTCCAAGCTGTGTATTGATCTCTGGGACCGACCTCGTCACATGTCAGCAGTGTAGGAGAGGAGGTTAAGTTAAAAAAAAAACAATGTTTTTGTAGACCTGGTGTGAGTAGGGAAGATGGTCAGATGAGTGAGTGATTCCCGAGGGAAAAGTCCCAGATAAGGATGAAGGGAGTCCGAGACCATGGAGAAGCTGAATAGTATTCATCTAGAGTAAATATTTGGACCTGTTTCCATGGGTCTGATTCAGCTCCCTGGAACTCACACAAATCTTTGGTTTTGCAAAAAATATATATTTTCACACATATTAGCAGCCTGTTTATGATAGAAGGGACTTTGCTGAAAGCATTCACAATTGGGAAAGCAAAGGATATCTTTAGGAAAATAATAAACGACCTTAATTTTGCACTCAAAGAGTGATTTACCATGCTCTTCATTATTTTCACAGAGAGACAGACAGACACGCACACTCACACACAGAGAAAGAGAGACAGAAAAAGTCTCAGTTTAGGTGAAGATCAGTCCAGAGCATTTAAAACTGCCTGCAGATTTAGAACTCAAGGGACCCTTCCTAGTGTGACCAGAGAACCGCCTGAATTCCTCATGCTAGGTGTCCAGGGGCAGACAAGCCTAATGCCTAAACCTCATTCCAACATTCACTGATTATTAAATGGTGGAATGTTAGATATGCCAGGTTATGGTATAAGGACCTTAAATCCTAGACTTTCCTCCTGCTTATATGGGGGTTGTTGAGCATCTGAGTGTTTGGACATCTTTGTGTGTAAACCTTATTTTTGTCTGCCATATCCTGCAGTATTTGCTATCTCTGCCCCAATCCGGGATGTGTGATACTACTTGGATCTTTTTAGAACTAGCAAGTATTCAGCAGTGTAGAACGAATAGGTTAAGTTTAGATAACAATGTTTCTTCAGTCCTGGAATTGGAGGTGAGGATTGTAAATGGAAGTGGGTTGCTACAGAGTGTCCATGCATGAAGATGAAAATAGGGGACTGGAACCATGCAATAGCTTAATCCTTTTTAATCTGTAGTCAAATTTGGGAATTATCTGAATGGGTCCAATTAGAATCTCTTGCATTATAAGGAGTCCGTTATGTTTGTGGTAAACATGAAATTTAGAACCATTAGCATTCTAATTATGGTAGCAGCCAGTAGGCTGTGTGCATCCATGTACTTTGAATGTGGCGTATATCTTCAG